ACACATGCCTGCGGTATTAATATAATCCGGTTATTTATAGTCTACAGCTTTGCATTTGCGCCTTATAGTTCTATTTTCGCAACAATATCACCTACTAATCTCGCGGTTTGAACGCGGCTGCGAAGATCCTATTTTATTCTCTCTATGGTACCGGCCCTTTCATGTGATGTCTTCATTCGTGTTTTTTATCCTCCACGCGCTCTTATTTCTTCGTAGGAAAAATTTGATGTAGGAAACAGAGGCGATCTTTCCGTGTTATTTTTCCTTGTCAATTTCTTTCTCGCGCAATATTAATAATCCGCAAAATCAGAAGCTCGTTGAAATCTTGGCGCCGTGAGAAATTGCGTTACCTCCGCGATTTAACTCACTGAGTCACCGTCATCAGATCCTCGGCCTGATGTCACTCAAATGACGCGCTATGTAACTATATTTCCAACGACGACTCGGTTTCCAAAATTATCGCATCTATCAAAATGAGATGGCTAGCGGCGATTCCCATCAGCCTTTCCGAATTGTTCGTACTGTAAATAAATCTTAAATTCAGATATATAAAAAAAAGTCATTTTTTTTCCATTAATGTAATAATAAAAACTTTTAATAAATAAATTTTTTTTCATGAACGTAAATATTTTCCTAATGGGTTTTCCTTAATACGCAATCATTTTCGTTTTTATAGGAAGCTTTATGTGAGCTAGGTGACCGCAAAATCACTCTGTTTACATAGACACATCATAGTTACACGTAATTTGTTCAACGAGAAAAACGATAATTGCTCGAGATTAGTAATTTTGCGAAAACAGTCAATAATAAAAATCATAATGTGAATCACTAACTAAGAGAAGCACACATCGGTATAAACAAAATAAATAAATAAAACACAAAAAACATTTGTGTTAAAAATAAATGTTTATTATTTCATTTATGTATACGCATCCAAACATTGATTTCGACCGTGATTTTACGCATGCATTGTGGCATTTATCGTTTCAAATATAAATATCAGCTATTGTTTATATTTGGACAAGGAATTGTGAAACTAATGTTGTTACGTATATTAGTTTCAACTACTTTGACTCTGAAGAAATCATCGACTCGATGGGGCGCGCTATCCGGACAATTAGTTTCGTAACTGTCGTATTATACACGATTTTATATTTGTTGATAAGAGTGCCCGCTTAGATTTTCATGAAATAGTCCGCAATTCCGGGAAAAGAGTTGCCAGAAAACGCAAATCACATGGGTGTCACTTTGCGTCGTATCGCGTCGCGCAAATGTATACGCGCGTGCGATAAACTTATCGGTGCGCGCAGCACTCTCATAGTTCGGCATTATCCTACTTACCTCGCGTTATCGAGGTTGGCTCCAGTGAGTCGCTTAATCCACTTCCGTTCGATTGCCATTATTGAAACGATCGTAGACGGTCTTGGTTCGCGTTCTTGCGCGCCATATGCCGCAATTCGACATTCAACTCTGTAGGCGTTATCGATTATCGACGTCTCGAGGAATGCCGAGAATTCGTGTGATGTGCGTGATTGCACAGTAGGATGGTCGAGTTTTTTTTTTTTTTATCAACGGTTATGATATCGCGGTTAACGAGAATCCAGAACACGCAGTAATGCCATATGACGGTGTCCCCTGGGGGGTTAATAAATGCAAATACAAATCGATCGGTTTGTTCGCGGCGTAGTAGTACTAGGTGGCGACGACGCGAGATATCGATCCGCAACGCCGGGTGTATATTTTTTAATATGACCCGCGACGAAACGCGAATCGATAGCGCGATATTTGCGAGTAATCTCGGACCTCCGAGAGACCGATTGCATTTGATTTTTTCTGATGGAGTCAAATTTACTCCTACTGATATATAATACATCATTCTATACATCTTATATTAATTCTAGAATGAAACAGTTAGGGTCTGCTTTATCGAATATAATTTTTCCTCAAATTTAAAAATTTAGATAGATATCAATTTAAGATAATTTTGCCGAATTATCAGAATAATTAGAATGTATTAATAGAAAATTCAATCATAATGAGCAATGCTGCAAAAAGTTTTGATATCCTGGCAATCAGTTGGGATATTATATATGTGTATATAAATCTTTTGATAGTCTAACGAAATTATTTTTAGCTTTGTAACAAGTTAAATTTTTAGATGTCTGTTCATCCTTGTACTGATTAAAAATAGTTTGGCTCGACACGTTTTCTTACACACAGACTTGATTATATATAATCTTATTTGTTGTACCATTGAAAATATAAAAGATTGTAAAATGGTAATAATAGTAAAAAATTTGTTTCAATAGAGGGGATTTTGCATCAAAATCTTCTTGTATACGGCATTGCATTTCTGTTGGTGACTTTATTTTGTAATTTACGGCAAATATCGATAGTGGGTTACGCCGGATAGTATATTTATTTATACTGTACATCATTATCGAGCAGAAGCTCCTTGCCGTTTATTATCCTCTCGTTGAGGAGATTGCTTAACAGCTCCACGTGTCAGCTAGAAAATCCTTGACTTTATCTATCTGTGCTGAAATGATCAGAAAATTGCTAATTTCGTAATAATTCATGATTTCGTAACTACACTCTCTTGTGGATTTATTCAACTTGATATGTATTGTAGTTTTTGTTGTTATCGACTTTTTAATTTTTTTATTTATCATACTACGATTCAGAGAAAAGCTGAGAAATGCAACGAGACGTAACAAGATTTTATACACGCTCTCGGAATCGTTAGCTACATTTACTTTATATCGCGTGAGATATAACTTTCTTTCTGGATGTGAGCCGATCGCGATGTCACTAAACCAGAAGACGAATTCGAGTCGTCTATTCGCCTTTCGCTTTGCAATGACAAAAATCAAAGTGCTTCGTCAATATTGCAGATCACGTATGTCGGCTTGTCAATGTACTTTCTCGTAGAAAGCAAAAGCGTTTCGTGCCAAGGTGAGATCGCGATGAATGCACTCTCGTGATGCCCTTCGCTCGTTGTCACGATTCTGTACGATCCTATATAGGCTCCTTGTATACGGCACTCTAATAAATCACTAATTCTAAGCACGTTAAATTTGTATTACATAGGTAATCTCTATATATGCGGTTTCGGTGTTTAAATCTAAAACCACAATCACGAAATTGTCCTACATTCAAAAAATTAAAGATTTATTACACTGCACAGCAGACACGGAAAAGTTTCGTTTCTTCAGTTGTTTAGGAGAGAATGGACGGAAATAATTCCGCGATATATTTATTACAATAAACTGTTACGTACTCGAAGCCGTACTTTAATTAGGCACCTTGAAGTACGGTGGAAGCTATATAGTACATCGAATAATAATTATTAACTTTTCCCTTCGATTTGTGTCGATTCTATTGAAATTTTTACGGCGCGATTTGCTGCGTAATTTTTTATATACTTATACCTATGTAATTGTGCCTGATTATGTATTATATCCGCCACGTGCGTCAATATTTTAAGATCCCTTATCGACATTATCGGATTCCGGGGATTTTCTGCGGGTCATTTGTTTGTCGATATTTTTATTTATACACATATAAAGCGGCGGAAAATCTTAAAAAATTTTTTTTTTCGAGAGAGAGAGAGAATCTAAAGAATCTCTCACTATTTACAGTATTTATTCTAAATTATTTACTATTTAAACGAAATTTATTCGTCTCTATGGAAATTAGTTTCGTTATTATTTTTGTCATATCCAATTGAAATGGATTTTCTTTTCTTATGTGTAAACCGAACTTTCAACTAAAATTTATTCATACGTATTTCTGAAAAGAGTTCGCAGTTTTATCAAAAGATTTAATTTGCTAAGAAACCTCTTTTTAACACTCATAATTATAAAGATATTGATATGTTGATCTTCTCAACTCGAAAAAAACTGTCTGTCTTTAAAAACATCATTACCATTCCCAACTTTAACAGAGATTGTAAACATTTTTCTCATTTCATGTTTCAGTATCCACTTACCAGTGTAACATGTCGGTTACTTCCGTGCAACCAGCTACCACTGAGAGCCTTTCCCGTCATGGGTGAGTAAAATCATCGTCGATCTAAATTTTTTTTTCGCGGACATCAGATTGTGATCCGAACCGCACCAGACAACCGCAACTTATAATTGCAAATGCCTGACGTGCCTCGCACGACTGGATTTTTTGCCACGGAATGCATCGATATATTATAGATAGATTTTCCCGCAAGAAACCAGCGCCGTGGCGGTACTAATATGAATTTCAGATCGCCTAATTGAAATATTACGACCTTCGCGCCTAGCTTTTTCTCTCATTATGAAATGTGACCTTCGATTCCTATATATGAGGAGAAAAATGGAACACATATATGGCGTTTCAAACTAAACAGAGAATATCAAAAAGTGGGGGCTTATATCCTGTAAAATTTATGTTATACAATGGAAATGTATGAAAATGTTGCTTAATGAGAGGCAAATGACAAACATCTCGTTCTCAGAATTGAAACCTAGAAGCCTCGATCATTATATAACCAGTTTCGATAATTAATTTCATCGCAATCAATTAACGCTAAATAGGAGGAGTGCAATAATGTTAAATGTGGGGCGCGATGCAGCGGAAAAGAGGGAGGGATACCTTGCGGTTTGCGCTCCGATTTTAGCCAAGCCGGCGATTTCGTTTTTCATTTCCATCGGAACGTGCGGCGCCATAATAAATTTCACTTCCTATACAACGCATTGCGAACACCGGAAACGTTAATCGGGGGACGTTGAAGGTGATTCGACACCGTTATAATACTGTCGTCAAATTGAAATCGTTGCTCATCCGTTGAGAATTATAAAAGTATATTGAGATTAATTTAAAACCGAATTTAATGAAAATAAACGAAGGTTGGTGTTATTAAATCAATTATTTCGTAACTTCACAAGTTATATCAAAAAATTTCAAACTTTTATGCATGCAGAATCATCATAAATTACTGCTGACCAATTAAATCAAATCGCCTAGTTGTTTCAACCGTAAATTGAAATCCCCTCGAGGATAATTACTATATTCCACAATTATCCCAGAATTATCGCTACCTCGCGACGGATAAATTGCAACAAAAATCACAATAATTTTCGCTGTTGTCTTGAAATATAATGATGACGGTTACGATACTTTTGTTGAAAAAAATTACACGTGTGCGAGAAAAGATCTCTCTTATTTTTTACCATTTAATTAAAGAAGAGTTGTATAATTTCTAATAATCTTTTTCTTGCGGTTTACGGTCATTCAGAAAAAAATCTCTGTTGCCGGCCTTTGTTCTCCTTGTGTCCGATATATCTACGTTTGCCTGGCAGTGCCGAGCGCACAAAACACGAACGAACGCGCAAGTTGGGCACATTACGCGTGCATTCACGTTGCAGTCACGTGAAAGAATCGCGTTTTTTTCTTCCTGATTACCATATGTGCACGCTCATTCGAGCTAATCGCGGCCCGGCCGTATCCGTGCTCTTCCTTCGGCCGCCAGGTTCAAGGTGGTTTACTCGCGCGATTCCCTCGCCCTGATAAATCGTACCTCCGGGAATCACGGAGCGTGTCTCGCACGGATATTTAAATTTGTCGGAAGGGTTTCTTGCGCAGACTCTGGCCTTCCACGTTCCTTCTCCCGACACAGAGGAGAGATTGAAGTCGGCATTACGTAACAGAAACTTTATTAAAAAAATCGAATAATTAACATTAAGAGCTTCTCTATCGAATTAAGCAGACTGAAAAGAGCACAAGTAGAACAATAACGTTTTAATTATGAAACAGTTACATCAGACTTGATTTTCATTTGAAATTGAAGCGACAAAGCGTCATTATAGGAAGAAAAAAAAGAGAAACGTTGACAAATTTATTTTATAGATTCAAATAGAATAGAGATTATTATTTTACGAATAAGTGAAACTATGAGCAGAGATTTACGAGAAAATAAATTTTTAACGCATGGATCCTCGTTTCGGTTTACAGGAGCAACATCTCGTTATCCCATCACAGCCTATATGGGAGCGTGGACGACGGTTTGCAAGGCTCGCATCCCCAATACCAGGACACGATCCTCACGATCGAGGAGCTGCGTGCTCAGCTCAACTCTTGCTTTACGTAAGTTGATTTGTGCTCTTTATCATCACGACGAATTGGTCGCGCAGATTCAACAGACCGTGGGAGTCGATCGGGGGAATTACGCAACGTTACGCAGAGTGACATGTCGCTGTTCGCACAATGGAATCCGGTACGATCCGGAGCCAGGGCGACTTTAATTCGTCAATTCGCGACGCGCTTAATTCTCCTTTACTTACTAATTCGAGAGAGAAATGTCCTCTGAATAAAGATAATTATGTTCGCGCGCGAGAAGTCGACGGGAGACGAAATTTCTTTTGGCTATCGAAATTTTTGTACAAACCTTACAAACAAACACTTGGTACGAACGCGTCATCGTGCGAACGCGCAGGATTGATAAGATAGTCATCGGTACGGAATGCAAGAAACGAGGCTAGTAGGTATGCCCAACGTTTATCTGGTGACGGTTGACGCAGTTATTCCGGTAAATCGATGCCCTACATCGGACGTATGCAGCCTCGATGTGCGGCATTTCCGTGAAATATTCACATAGCCCGTCGTAATTCGATCAATCAAAAATATTCGACGTCCTAGAAAGATATTCTTCCTTCTAAGAAAAAAAACTTAGTCTTTATTCAATAAACTCGATAAAATCCTTATTAATACGTATATATCTACTAATTAATCTATAATTTTGCGCAATTTGCTCTCGTCATTTGTTATAACAACGAAATAATTAAAATAAAAAACAAAGTATTTTCGAAAATAAGTTTGTGAATGTTTTGAATCATTAAAATTTTGGAATATTAATTTTAAAATGTAATTTTTAGTATAATAATTTGTAGAAGAATAAAAAAAATATGTTCTTTCTTTTTTTTTTCATTATGTTTCTCTTTTTCTGTAATTAATTAAAAAATGACAATTTTTTTAAATTATATTTTTCTAGCAAATGAGCGATATATTTATTGATTAGTTTAACTAATGTAATTTTGTAATATATATCAACGTTACCGTTTTATCGAGTAAATCTTGCGTAAACCGGATGACGCTGATCGAATTGTTAAACCGCATGACCTTGTTTCCCTGAAAGACCGTCCCAATGGTAATTTTGCGATGCAAATCGTCAACTTCTCTTGCAAGCGCGTCGTTGGGTCGCACGCTTCCGTATTACTACACGCCTCCATTATTAGCATAATTGGGTGTGTATTCGCATCGGGACGATTCATTATCGTTGTCTTGTTCTCTGCGTAGATGCGGGGTGTCGTGGAGCGAGGAGCACGTCTCCTTGGACTGCAGCGAGTGCGGTGGCTATTCCCTGCAACGGCCGTGCCCGCTTTGTGACGGTCGTTGCCATACCGTGTGGAAGCGCGACCTTACCATGGTAAATATCTACCCTGTGAACCTCTCTGCTCCAGAAGAAGAATCGATAAATTCACCCGACCTGATACATTAACTCCTGCCAATTTCCCTCTCATTAATTAATGTCCATTACTTATCTTCATTATGACATTATCACTTTTCATTTTAATCTTTTTGTCGTCCATTAGACATGAATTTTTTTTGTTGATTAATCGAGAGTCAAGGATCCAAATATTGTAATGTTAATTTGACTATTAATAATGATTTAATGATAATTTTGGCTTTGGCACAAATTTTTTAAATCCTGTATAAATTTCCTTAGTTTTGATCAAAAAACGAAAAAGTAAATTTACTTATGATATTTGTTTTCCTTTGTAGTCCCATGCGAGTCGTAAGGCAAGATGGATCGGTGAGTGTGGACTGAGCTGTGGACCCTCCTTGGAGGAATCACTGGTGCCCGCGTTGGAGAAGCTGCGGGCTACTTCGTGAATGGCATCAGCCCGAGCACCGCCAACCATGCACAAGACTTAAATCCATCACCATCCATCTAGTATCACCCACCACCATCGCATGCGAGATTCAAGAAAGGAAGAGAGAGAGAGAAAGAGAAACGTATGAATGTAGACCATGGATGATATACATTATGTTCCTGAGGAGGGCGGCTGACAAGGGAAAGAAGGGTCTGTGTTTCGACCTTTGTGATTTCTTCCCTAAAGATACAAAGCCGTACCCAGCTGGTCCCTCGACATCAGGGACCACCATCATCGTCATGATCGTCTTTTAGGCGAAAGTACAAAACTACGCGATCGACGTCCGAATTCTATAAAGAATTTCTACGTTATACTGAACGATTAACTATGTTGCAGCGAACTAGTTTAAACACACTGCTCTCTTACGGGGACAACAGATTCTAATTTACTTTTAGCTTTTACGCCGATTTACTGTGTCGTAAAATTTATATTTCGATTATCTCTTCACAGATTTCTGAATTAAAGTTACGCTAACAATTTTTATTAGGAAACAGAATTTTATCTTTTTTTCGAATGATTTTTGCCGCTGATATAGACTTGCTTCAATGCTACCTGAAAATAGCTTCTTTCTGAAGTAGTTTTTTTGTAAAGTTAAGCAATAGATAATTTGTCAAAGAAAATCTTTCTATTCAAGAATACATCGCTGTATCCATGAAGCAGATTTGATTGTTCTTTGAAATATTTTTGAACTTTATATTTTTTTTTAAGTTTAGAATATAGAAATATATATTTAAAAAAAGTGCAAAAAAAGCAGGAACAAATCGAAAATATACCCTGATCGTTTTTCTTTTTCATTCAATCTGGATGACTCGGAAACATTTTTTCGGTACAAAATTAATCTCAGAATGAACACAAAATGGAGCTTTGCTTTTAAATTTGATTGGCATAGTTATCTTTTGGAACTGCAACAGCTAATGTCTTTGTGCAAATAACTAATTTTAGCAATCGTAACTCCGAAATATCTTTATATCATTTGATTTGACCGTCGTAATAATTATTTGTCCCTGCACACTTATAACACAATTAAATTTTGTAATGTAATTTCACGGCACATGCACCTGAATTGGTACTTAGAATACGGCGTAAATCTATGATTTTTCAAAATTAAAACACAATCAAGAATTTCTTTTTATGAAAGTACATTCTAAAAATTTTTATATTATGTATGTAAGTAGTAATGTAACAATACCCTTATCACATCATTAGTTACACTCCAGGCTTAAAAAATTTTAATTTGTAGACTTAAAAAGCAATGAAAAAACGACCAATTCATTTGTGGAAAATTTGATTTCTTATTGCAGATTTCTTATAAAAAATGTTTTCAAATTTTTGTATCGAAATGCGAAACTTGCATCGCGTAATATCGTGATTTCGGAAAAATTCTAATGACGGTAGCTTAATCTTCGGTCGTTCCTATAGCAATGCGAGAGAAGCCCGATCTTCACTTTACTTTTTTACGTAACGAAAGTTACATCTCGGCCTCTCTGTCGCGCGAGAAAGCGCGAATTTGCATTACGCGAATCCTAGGATAATTATTAGGCGACAATTAATCGATCGAGCGATCTGACGACGAAAAACCCGTCTGGGATTTTCGCACGAGAGCACGACGTATCGGTGTTTTATATAGGTAAATAATAATTCAATATCCCTCGCTTTTAATTATCACAACTGTATTATTGGCGAAATAATTCCGAGCTTGCGATTGTATACGATAAAAATTTAGTCAAAGATTTGCCTCATTAGCGAGGATTTTTAGTGTTAACGTGACGTGATTCAATCGTCATAGCCCTAAGGATCGATAGGCAGTCGGTGTGTTATGAATTCGAAAAAAGTTATTAAATTATTTCCACAAATAGCAATTAGAAAGTTTGTCGTTTGAAATGTTATTGTATGTCGAAATTGGTACGGCGAGAAGAAAAAAGGTATGAAAATATACAGTTGTGTTGTCCGTTCGCATTGTAACGGAAAATCATACGAATCTCCTTGGGTCTATGAAAGTTTAAAAAAAGTCGGTTGTATTTATAGCGCGTTTCTCGACAAAGATACGTCCTGCTCGCTTTAAATCGTCCGCTTTTCTGCCAAGTGGTTGCTGAAGTAGCTCGACCCTCAAGCGCATGAGAATGTCTAATGCGGTTCAACAATTGTGTACTCGACACAAAGAAAATTGCGAGTGCCCAGTAAGATTTCATTCTTGAAAAATAAATTATCTGAAGAAAAATTGACACAGAAATGGTTATACCATTTCTTAATCGTGTGTAATGCAAATAAGATTTATACTTAAATATTTTATAACGACAAAACGCAGATTTATTTAAATATATTATAACTTATATATTAAATATGATGCTCTTAATATTCTGTCAATGTTATTATGGGCCTTGCAGAATTTTTTGTGTCAAGTCAGTTTGGAAAGCATTTACGTCGTGCCAATGACTTTTTCGGATTTTTATTATTGTTTTATAAGGATCCCGCGTGCCGAAGCCTTTCTTAGCGAAATGTATGAACAAAAGAATGTTTTCGGACGTTTACTGACTTTCCTCGATAGCTTACATATATTACATATATATATTACGAGTGCGCGAGTATACATGCTCATCTCAAAATACATCCTCATTTATTAAATTAAACTGTAATGTATAAAAATTGTCTGGAGTATTAGCTCGCGGTGAGCTTTAGTTTAATGCTTTAGAGAAAATCTTCGGTAGTAGTTTTTATTTAATCTGCGAATTCTTATTTATGACGTGCGAATACTGCAAAAGTATGGGTTTAATAAATACTTGCAAAAAATCCACTATGACTAGTTAATACAAATCCTCCTTTGTCTTCTTGTCTCTTTTCTATGATTTGAGATAATTTCCCAAGAAAAAAATGTGAATTGATATGTATATATACATATTTGATGTCTTTTCTTTATTTATATTTCAATTGTTTGCGTTAAAAAAATATATAACTCTGCTCTTGAATTTCTCTCGTATCAGAATATAGAATCCAGCAGCATATCTCTATTCAGATATTGCATTATTATTTATGGAGAATAAATAATCCACTGGGTTAGTAAGTGATTTAGTTCTATTGAGTAAAAGGTATATCAACATTTTATTGAAATTTTTTTTACGATTTATGTACATTTTCATCATGCCAGCAACACGTTTACACGATCTTTTTACAAGTCGAGACTACAGCAGTATTTTGTATCTCTATGCCGTGTGTGTACTCTAATATTTTAAGTACTCCATCATTTTCTATTAATTAAGTACATGATATCAGTACGATTCTGGAAGGCAACATAGAAGGAGTTTAATCGATAGAATTAAAACATCATTCGATGTCACGATTTTTAAATTTGTTATCTAATTTCTTATCGCCTTTTTCTAATATTTGTTATCAAACTTGAAAAAAATTACGATAATCCTGTCTCTTTAAATCATTATAAAAATGAATTTTTGTTAACAAAAAGGTTGTAAATAATATTATATATATATATATATATATTATTTACAACCTATTTATTATATATATATAATAATAAATATATATATATATATATAATAATAAATAGTTTTTATAGTTATACAACTACACAATACCATACACAATGGTATATACAATCTATAAAAATAATTTATATCAACACCACTTCTATGTTGTCTTGTAAGGTATTTAAGTATACAGCCGCAATAAAAAATATGAGAAAAAAATATACTTTAAAATCTTTAAATAGACTTTCAAATAACTTTATGAAATAATTTTTTTTAAATATCATGTGCTGATAATTGTACTCGCGCGTAAATGATATCTATAGATATTCAAATTATTCGATCATTTTTCAAACAAAAATATTATATGAAACAATAATATAAATTATCACTTATTATAATTTTCATAAATATTAACTCATTTTTATTCTGTCAATTGGTTCTCTGTAAAAGCATATATGTATCATGAAAAGGAAAATTTAAAAATAAATATTTAAAATAATTCTTGTATATGTCTACAGTCGCAAAAATATGTATATAATAGCTGCAATAAACAACGAATTAATCGAGAATAACAAACGTATCGAGAGAAGTTTAGCAGTGCTGTATTTAAAGTACCATCGCGTGTAGCAATAACTTGAAATGTTAATGTTTTATTTAAAGGTAAAAATTATAAAAATTTAGTATGATTTTTTAAGTCATTTACAAAATGTATAGATGGTGAATAATTAATATTAATTAACTAATAATTATTTTAAGTTTCTTGAATTATTTAATTAATTCAAGAAATGTACTCCTGCCAGCGGATTTTTAATAAATCTTTATTAAAAGTCATCATACTTAATATACTTGTTAGTACCAAAGTCTTATTCTATATGAATTTGTAATCTAAGTAAAATAACATTCATTTAAGTTCTTTAATGTTTTGCTATCACTGCACGCGAGAATACGTTATACTATGGCTTGAGCGCATCGAGAACGTGTAACGAGGATACGTGGTACTATATTACAGGAGAGAAAACGCATATTTCCTGAAAAGGTTCTATATACAAACCTTCTTCTGTTACCGCAAATTGTTCTAGTTTTGACTATTACTTATTAAACTGAGTAGCGATTCCGCTGATCAAGATCATGCGTACTCCCTCACATAGACGAGAGAGAACAATAACCTCAGTATCAGCATCCTACAAGGACCTTAATCCTGCTCGCGCAACTCGCAGCGCAAGCGAGTGACAAGAATCAACTTTGGTGCATGATGAAATTCGTATGTGTATGTATATGTATGAAATAAATTAATTAATAGTTTTCTGCGCAACAATAGTTCTAGCGTGAAGATCGTCGCTGCCATTTTTTTTATGCTCGATCTATACAATACTTAATATTAGACTGCGATCAAGAACGAAATTGCGCTGTGAAGGAAAAATTCAGTGGCGATTGATGAGAGTCCTAAGGCAATGGATTTTAGTATTGTCTGTAGAATTAGCCTAGTAGGAACGTATCGCTGGTGGAACCGTTGCACATTCCTGTTGATTGAGCGTAACGTCAATCACCGGTCTATAGTCAAGAGACACCTTAAAATAATGAAATAAGAATTAGAAGTTATGAAATAAAAGTTATCGAAAATATTTAATATTGAAAATATTAAAATGGAGAATGATAATAAATGTCTAATTAATTAATGTAAATATTGAGTAAAAAATATAAAATTTAAAAAATGAGAAAAACATTCATGGACAGAGTAAAAAATATCAATTTCTCATCTCTATTTGTAAGGAATAAAGAAAAAATATACCTCTCCTGTTTTCGAATTAATCTTCGATAGCGTGTGCTTCCTCCAATGTTGATTGAGAGGTTTTGGTTGTTGATTTTCGATCGGTTTACTGTAATCGTATTCATCGATTCTCTGTTTATAATCCTCGCGAGCGTGGGCACCGCGACTCTCCTTTCTATTCTCCGCTCCAATGATAGTCTGCATTGCATTGATCATGAGATTTTGCAGCTCAAGCGTTTCTATCAAATCGGAATTCCATATTAAAGATTTGTCCGCGACTTTTAACTCATTCAGTTTTTTGTAGAGATCGGACATTTTCCGACAGCCTGTGAAATAAGTATATAATAACATTTCCAATGCTATGTTTGTAAATTTAACACGTAATGATATACGAATAAAACATCAATTGATCAAAAATGATCTTTTCATTTTTACCTTCCTGTAAGCTTCCGGCGTCTCTAAAAACTGCCGCGTGCGTTTGCATAGTCTTTTGCATAGTTAGCCTCAATTCCGCGGTGGAGATGGAACCGTTGGCATTTCTAACCCAGTCTAAATTAGCTACCGTCTCCTCACCGGCGGTCTAAAACAAAGAAGCAAAATGTAACACACATTTATCTTGTAACAAAAATATAGTTTATATATATATATTAATTGAGAGCTTATCTGAAATGACAATAACTTACAGATCTCAGAGGTCCAATCGTCTCACCAGGCTTATTTTCTTCAGCGATAGTTTTAGCGCAAGCACGTCCAAATACGACTAAATCCAATAGTGAATTAGCACCCAGTCGATTAGCACCGTGAACGGACGCGCAAGCTGATTCGCCACACGCATATAAGCCAGGTATTATTTTGTCTTGATTGTTCTCTTTGATCAATACTTGACCTTTATAATTTGTCGGCACACCTCCTGCAATTATCAATATATAAATATAGCATTAGTATTACTAGACTCTCTCTTCCACAAAAAAATTATTGCAAATAAAACAAAATAGTTTGTAATGAATCTTTTGACGATAATCATCATCTGAATAATTGAAGAATTACTGTGTCGCATTTGATAAACTATTTTATCAAAATATTTTCTTGCTAAAAAGAAACTTAATCGTGACGACACCAATGGTACCTTAATGAAGAGTATCAGGCTTTAAATTAAAATTATCATACAGAATATTAATTACGGAAAAAAATTCATTGCATGACAACAACTATTTTCATGGATACATTTTCATTGCAAAAAGAAAATTAAATTAATTTTCTTATTAATACGTTGAATGTTATGCAGATATAACATGCACATACACAAATATATTTCTTAGCAATATTTCAATAAAGAGTACTGATTGTATCCACGATTATAAATATCTTCTTTCAAAGATCGCATCAGTATTAACAATTTTAATACTTCAATTATTTATATTCATACCCATATTGTAATGGACGGTGGGGATGACAGGGATGGGTTCCCGAGTCACATCGACGCCAGCAAATATCATCGCCGTCTCCGAAATACCTGGTAGCCGAGCAGCCAACTGTTCAGGTGGCAGATGATGTAGCTGCAAGTAAATGTGATCCTTTTCTGGTCCGACGCCTCTAAGTAGAGACAAAGAATTATATTTACCACGAATATTTTCAAAGACGCAACAAAAGATGCATCTTTGTCGGCCGGCAACTCACCTGCCTTCTCTAATCTCCATTGTCATAGACCTAGACACTACGTCTCGCGAAGCCAGATCCTTCGCCACCGGCGCATAACGCTCCATAAACCTCTCGCCCTCGCTATTTATCAGATAACCGCCTTCACCACGACTGCCTTCTGTAATCAAACATCCAGCGCCATAGATACCTGAAATAAATACGTTTTTTGTTAGTGCAAATTACAGAACTACATAATTAAGCCTTTGTATCATACATAAAATGTTAAGAAATAATTAAACTTGAAAAAAATTTATACCAAAGATTTATTTTATTAAAAAACACTTAATTAAATTTCAAAATATTTTATTTCTTACTAATTAAATATTGCTCCTATCATTTATAAGAATCCTCAAATTTTTTAAATTTCACTATTTAAAGACATGTGCTATATTGCAACAATAATCTTATTCTGTGTAGTAAATATACACCACGCACCACTCATAATTATTCGCGCAAACAATAGATATTTTATATTTTACTTCCAATTTAAAAGTTGAATAAGTGTTCTATATTACTATTAATCTAGATAATCATTTTAATAAGATATTATCTGTATTATCAATCAGTATGGAACACACTTAATTTTTAAAATCACAGTAAGGTATAAAATATCCGTCGTGCAAATAAGTTTGAGCAATAGTGTATATTAAGTATGTACTGGTATGTACCTGTAGGATGAAATTGTACAAATTCTAGGTCTTGATTGGGCAGATTAGCCCTGGAGACCATAGCGGTACCATCCCCGGTACAGGTATGTGCGGATGTGCAGGAAAAGTAGGCACGCCCATAGCCACCAGTAGCGAGCACTGTATTCTTGGCATGGAAACGATGCAATGTTCCGTCCTCCAGGCAGAGCGCGATCACACCGCGACATTCGCCATCCTCCATCAGCAAATCGAGGGCGAAATACTCGACGAAGTAATTACAATCGTAGCTTAGCGACTGACCATAAAGTGTGTGTAGCAATGAATGGCCGGTCCTGTCAGCTACGCAACAGCATCTATGAGCCTGACCGCCCTTGCCAAACTTGAGAGATTGTCCACCAAAGGCGCGTTGATAGATCTTGCCTGATAGAAAATATAAAGACGGTTTCAAATAATTTTTATAAATATTATTGTGATACATATATATTATTTATTAATTTTTATTAATATTGTAGTGACACTGTAGGTTTTTCAAAACTTATTATCTTAAATTTTTAGAGATTTTTTTTAAATGTGGAATTTATACGATTTTAAATAAATGTCATAAATATAAGGATTTTGATGAAAATGACTTTAAGTCACTATACTTATTTTATAAATTAAATGTTAATATATATAATGAATGAAATTTTGAAGATTTAGATGTTCATTATAATTCATAACTCTATTTCACGTTTAAATGATCGAGAATAATTGCGGTATTTAAAAATCAATCCTAACGATAAGCGACAACTTCAACTACATAGCAACCTAGCATTCCTAGCAATGACATTTGTTATTTTCACGGTGAAAAAATTTGCGTTTTATTTTCTCGATTGCAGGAACAAATTTTTACTTCTTAATTACTTTTTATCAATGGATAAGAATGTATCGGTGCGTACGTAAATATTGATAGGGCAAATACATTTTTTGGGGGATTATTGTTAAATCATGGAAGACGACAATAAAAGAGAAGAAATTGGTGAAGTAACGGGAGGAGGTATAGAAGAGGATGGGGCTTCAAGGCAACAAGAAAGAGGTTCTGATAATCAACAACTATCAAGACCATCCTCCAGTCGCAAACGCATGCGAAACGAGTGAGTTACGTAAACATAACTAATCCGTAATTAAAATATCATTCACAGCCATACGACACCACAATATCTCCAGAGTCCAGATTGCTACTCTATACATGTACATAAGTACCTATCTGATTATTTTATTATTATTGCTTCTGTTTTAATATATTGTGTATTAAAAACATTTTCAGATTCGACGAAAATTTTGAAAATGTTAATCGTTTGTATAATTACTCTTATCCTTATTTTCCATTTATAATAATTGTATGAAGTATACATTTGGATAGAACAGACTCTAGCCAACGTGACAGAAAACCATCCCGCACGAGATCAAGATCGAGGTCAAGTAAGCCTCTGCAAAGAAGGCAATGGAGAAGCGCGAATGCTTTTCTAAATTTTATGCAAGACTTTAGGCAGGTAACGAAATGCAAAAAATGACGGGGGTAATGCGAGTGTTACGTAAGCAGAACAATCAAATTACAGAATTACAATAAGGTGAAGAGCAGAGATCTGTTTCGCCTTGGTGGACAAACATGGCGACAAATGTCGTCCACGGAGAAAATGCCTTACGTAGAAGCAGCTAAGTTAGCGCAACAACAATCACAACAAAATACTAATAAGAATACACAGCAAAATAAGCCTAATAACAGTGATTCTTCAAAGAAGCCCGAAAATCAAAGAGACCACAAAAAGAATGAACGAGAGGTTCAATTGTTAAATAAACTTTTTTACTAACTTCTTATACTTTTAACAAAATTAAGATCTTTTATAATTTTTTATGTATTTTCTTAAATCTTGTCTTTATAAATTATTATTATATATTCAGTTAATCATTAATTCATGAAAAGTTTAATACATTTAACGTTTATGTGATTTAAGAAATGCAAAATTAGAGCTTGGCAGTTTTATTAATTTTATAATTATTATAATCTGTCTAAATTTTTATATAAGTCTTAGATAACATATGGATATTTACGTTTCAGGGAAGAAAAGAAAGCAAACGTTCTAGAAGCAAGAGAGACGATTCCGACGTAGAATCAGATTCCGCAACGTCGGGAACTGGCGCAACTATGACCAGTGAAGACATTTCGGATTTGAGTTCCTAAATATCAATTTATTAATTGATATCAAGAATGTTAAAAAAATATGTGTACGAAACTATTTATTTCGATTATGTGTCCTTGATCGTATCGTTATAAAATTTGAATAAAGTCCAAGATTTTATAAAAAACAGTTTTTTCAGGTTTATTCTTTTATAATGGCTTCATTATATTTTTTTGCAACTGCCTTTACTTTTTAATTCATTTATTTGTGGTCTTTACGCTTGAATTTTAATTGACTCTTCTATATATATTGCAGATTCTATATACATTGCAAATTCTAGTCTAATATTGTAAGTTTTTACAATCATTTTTATCTCTCTCTTTTATGTAGATATAGTACATATATTATATATTATATAATGCATATATAAATAAGATAATATTATGTATATGTAATATAAAATAATTCGTCTAATGAGTCTCAATGAGCTCTATAATATATTGAAGCGAGCCATCGCAGAACGGGAATGTTCCAATTTTATATAAATAGATAATGATATTCTGATGTAAAAAGTGTACTGTCAAAGATTCGCTGTGATTAGCTAATGTTGTTTTACTACTATAAGTAAAGTGTCAAAAAGACAAATATTTATTTGCTTCCTTTTTCTCCGTCATAATTTTCTATATAGTTTAGTATAGGAAACGCACGCTTTAGTATGTTTTAGAGCTCACTAGATCTATTTGATGGAAAAAGAGAGATTCTCATTCACCGTCGGTAGTGCGACTGAAGGGCATGCCGCAATTCTCCAGCTCGATGACGGCCTTCGGTGCCTCACGGGTCATGTAGTGAATGGCATCCTGATCGCCTAGCCAGTCTGAGCCCTTGACGGTGTCGTACATGTGCCATTGCCAGTTATCATCCTCCATGTTGCCCAGGGCGGCATTGATGCCGCCCTGGGCGGCGACTGTGTGCGATCTCGTCGGGAACAGCTTGGTGACCACCGCGGTCTTGAATCCCTCGGCGACGAGACCGTAAGCCGCGCGTAGACCGGCACCGCCGGCTCCCACCACCACCGCGTCATACGTGTGATCTATCAACGGATACTGTTTGGAGATTTCGTTGGAAATCTTGGCCGTTCGGTCCGGCGTGTGGTGGAGTCTGCGGTTACCGAGAAGCGGCAGTCCCAGCTTGTTCTGTGAAACGGAAGCGAAGTAGAGATATCAAGGACAAGCAAATCGCAATACAGCATTTTATGATTAGAGCTCGCGTTCATTAACTGATTCACTCACTAGAGTGTTTAATCAACGTAATACTCAACAACGTAACAGTTGGTTGTATAACTTCTATATCTTGTAAATTTTTGTGATATAAAATTCAAGGATATATATATATATATACACACACACATATAGATACACGATATAATATAAAGTTCGAATTCTATTGAGACAGAATTTCAGGCAGCGATATATTAAACGGAAAATAATGATGCTAATATCTAGTTTCCTATTTTTGTAAGTTCTTAACAGATCATATTGAGGAAGTTTCAATTACTTCCTTTCGGATTTAAGAGTTATATTGTTAGGTAAGACATCACGCGAATACGCTGTTATTTATAATGAGTCACGAATATACGATTACGTATACGTATGTACGTACATACGTACGTACATGTGTCATATGTGTTTTGCTCTACTTAGAAATCACATGGTGATAAACATTGTTGTAGATGAAACGTACACGTCCCTATAATATTTTTATAGATTATATATTGTATTGATATAAATAATTAAATATATAACTATATATAATGTAAACAATTTTGTCATTTAGAAATAAAATTTTATGCGCCTGCATAAATTTTTCACAAACAAATGTTGCGAGAATATGGCGAAATGCTTATGATAAAAATTTGTAATTTAAAATATAAAAAATAGAAGAAGATATCATATAAGTAAACGGTTTAAATTAAATGGTTGTAATAATACTTAACGTGCTGATTCCCGGAAAATTCGTATAAACTGCATATTTTTATGTCTTTATACACAAAGATGTAAGCCGAGCTAGCATGCCTCTACAAACTGCGTTGAAGTTAGCTTGCAGATCAATTAGCGGGTTAATTAGTTTCTTTAAAAGAAAAATAGAGATAGCGCAACAGAGTTTCATTGCGAAATAATTAAAAGTGGTAAACGCTAGGTATCGCTCGGGATATTTGCAGAAAATGATAATTTTCCGTAGCTTATTGTCAACCTATAATTGCTTATGCTCCAAGATAAAGCAAAAAAACCACATTTCTGTTTGATCTTAAGATCGCGCGGTGATATCAGATAATCTCGCTATTTTCTAGAAAGAAATTCATAATTCAATATTGCTTTTACGTTGATTTTATTTAGAAAATGTTGAAAAAAAGATTAATTTGTTTTACCTCTCTCTTAATTTCGTTAAAAGGAAAGATTGCTTCGTCATTCTCGAATATTTGTCTAAAAATGTGTTAATATAAATCCACATTGATACAATTAATTGTTAAAGCCTGCGAGATATCGTGGAGGTACGTCAGTTACTGACAATGAATTTTCAGATGATAACAATTATCTTTTTAATTAAACGCTCTCGACGCCTACATAATTCGCTACTAGGACAACAATCTTGATACAAATTAAGCTCGACGCTACTTATTTTGTGACGATCGTAAATATTTCACATGCGCGATAAACTTTGCACGCACATGTTTTCGAAAACATACCGTTAAAACTCGACAAATGAAGACGTGAAATACAGTTCGTTATCAATTCAGGCGCGACGTAAAATTTCGCACAGGTGTGCTTCACGCTTATCTCGGTGCCTATAGTGGTTCTTTCGTATCACGTTGCGTCTGTATGCTGTGTAAAAAGATTCTCAACTCTCTAAAATCTTGAGTGAACGAGAAAATTAACGAAAATAGTTAATCTACGTTCTTTCGAATGCCTCGCGGGGGTATCGATACCTCGTTCACCGCTCAAATTCGACATCTACGGCAAAATGCCGCAAGTGTATCTCGATTCGGAATCGAGTCATCGAGTATAGACACCGTTAGACGCGAGCAGCCCCCGCCGGCCAATGACGCGTCCAAGCATATGGAAATAGAATGGAACCCTGTGGCGAGATTTCTCGCAATTTCTCGAGAACGAGCGAGGGAAGAATTCCCTCTCGGCGGTGGGAAGCCGAGGGGGATGCCACGAGGGAACAACCGTGAAGAAACGTGAACGCGGGCGGTAAGACGCGCGGGTGTATCTATCCGTCGGTCGCGCGCACCTTACGTAATTGATCCACCGCGTCGTCGTGCACCTCATCGCTGCACCGGCGGCGGGACGGCGAATAAAAAAATTACATAACCAGCCGAACTTGAATCCGCGTGGCCCTGACCTACCGTCACGAATTCTTCGAATAACGGACAACGGGACGGGCGACGAGCGCGTTCGATAGATTCTTTTTTCTTCCTTTAAGATGGCGCGAGGCCGCTGCGGTAACGCGGCGAGATTTTCTAGGCCAGGTGTATACCCAAGATCTAATTCCGCCGAGGTTCGGTCTCGCGGAAGAGCGATCCTCTGTGTACGTTCTCAGTTCGCTCGCAGCGAGAAAAACGCGGCCGCGGCCGCGCTCTATCACGGGGTGAGAATCCGCGTACAGCCTCTACCGTTGGAATAGCGAACGCGTGTTCCGGTTCTCACCAGCGTCACCGTTCCGGGCAGGCTCCTCGGCAGCAACGACGCCGCGAACTTGAGTAATCCGCTCATCTTACGCCACCCTGTGCTTGGCTTCCCGTCGAGATACGCCCCCGTGACAGACCCGCGCGCACGCAACACGCGACTAACCCTCACTATACTATATCGGATTTATCGGCGCAATCTCGATCTGCTCAGCTCGGCGGCTCGACACCGACTGAGACGCCGAGCGTCGCCGGAATGTTGCGCGCGCACAGTGCTGCCAACGCGCTCAGAGACGTTATCCAAACGTGCGTTTCGCTGGTTTCACACAGTTTCACATAATCCGCACGGTTCCGCACGGTTCCGCACCTGCACCACCGTGATATGATAATAAAAATGTATAAACCATTCGACTTTTAAAATCGAGAACTAAAATCCTAATTCCAAGGTCAGATGAGTCTTACATATTCAATCATCTATCGCTTATTTTTAAGGGTTCATATCAAGTATTAACAAATACCTACTAACAATTATATTACTAATTATATATGTATGATTAATATTGACGGTGATTTGAATTTTGATTCTCGAGCATCGGTATTGTTTTCTTATTAGGATCAATATATATCACATGTATGTCACAGTGCAGTAGATATAATGTGCGTAAAAATAAGAAATTTATTGTCAATAATGTGTAAAAGGTTAAAAATATTAAAAGTATACTGATGCATATACTGTCAATATTACTGATAAGTATTACTGACCAGAGTCATCGTAACGATGCGTTGCGCAAAATATTAATATTGCACGTGTGATGCGTGCAAATAACCTCACTTTTATTCTACACATGTGTGATATGGCAGATAAAAATGAAAGTTTTCATTTAAAATTAAGTAATTCTAAGGAGGCTCTGAAAAGCCTTGATTTCACATCTTATTTTTTATATTAGAGAAAAAGAAGCAAAAAAATTGTAGAAATAAATATACAATTAATTTAAAAGATTTAACATAACAGGTTTAGTCGTTTTCTTTTATCTACGTGGCATTCGTATACGCGTTAATTCTTAAGAAGAACACAAGTACGTATAGTCATATTATGACTCCACAATGATTATTAAAAATAATTTTTTAATTAGTTATAGATTCATTGTCATTTTGACTGTTATCCTACTTGGGTTACTCGATGTGCAAAATAAACATATCTTTATAATGCATTTTTAAATAATTTATTCGATATTCTATTCTCTGTATTTTACTTTGGAAATTATACTAATATTCTCTTTGTTTTATAAAATAAAAATCGTAACATTTTAGGAACGTTTAGAGAATTTGCGATTATAGATCATTCAGATGTATTTTTTGAGAATTTGTAGGCATACATACCTAATCTGCATGTTTAGTGGAATAAATGAAAAGATTAGTAGCGA